CGCTCAATCGATCATTTTTCTCGGTTCGATTTTGATTTTTTTCTTCTTCTTGTTGCTCAGCTTTCTTTTGGATGGCGAATTCCAGAACTGATAATGGCACGTCCGCCATTGATGATCCTTCAAGCCCCTACTTCTTGCATCATTCAGACGGTCCAAGTTTGATTCTCATCTCTCAAGCTCTTACAGGCGACAATTATTCTTCATGGAGTCGGGCTATGTTAATCGGTCTTTCTGTCAAGAACAAATTAGGGTTTATTGATGGTTCTTTGATGAGACCAGATGGAGATGATCCTAATCTGTTGAACTCCTAGATTAGGAACAATAACATAGTGATTTCATGGATTTTGAATTCGGTTTCTAAGGAGATCTCGGCTAGTGTGATTTTTTCTGAATCCGCGCTTGAGATTTGGTTGGACTTGAAAGATAGGTTTCAGCAGAGCAATGGTCCTCGAATTTTTCAGTTACGTCATGAGCTTGTGAATCTGATGCAAGATTAGAATTCAGTTAGTGTCTATTTTACGAAGCTGAAAACTCTTTGGGATGAGCTAAGTAATTTTCGCTCTTCCTGTTCTTGTGGAAAGTGTACGTGTGGTGGAGTGCGTGGTCTTAATGCGCATTACCAGATGGAATACATAATCTCATTTCTCATGGGATTGAATGAGTCATATTCTCAGATTAGAGGTCAATTGTTGCTCATGGATCCAATGCCTCCTATTAACAAGGTTTTTGCTCTGGCTGTTCAAGAAGAACGTCAACGTTCCATTAGGAGTTCTGTTAGCCTTGACATAGCTAATACTAAGGCATTTGCTGCAAAGACTGATGAACGCAAGTCCAGTGTTCAGGGTAATGGAGGCCCAAAGTTTTACAAGAAGGAGAGACTGTTATGCACTCACTGCAACTTTCGTGGTCATACTGTTGACAGGTGTTACAAGCTCCACGGTTATCCTCCAGGGTTCAAATCCAAGCCACGTTATGGTGAGCAGCAACACAACTTTGTGCATCAAGTATCAGGCTATGATCAGAATTCTAGCAATCTGGTTCAACAGTTGAGTTCGGATCAATGTCATCAATTGCTGGCCTTGCTGTCCAATCAGTTGACACAGTCCACTAAGGTGTCTAATGATCGGCCTGAGACTTCTAACATTACTTGTGTTACAAGTACTTGTTCATCCGTAGCTTTAAACTCAGTTTTATCTCTTTCACAACATTGGATTGTTGATTCTGGGGCTTCACGTCATATATGTTGAAAGGCTGAGTTTTTTATGTTTTTGAAACCTATACAGAATTCTAGTGTCATGTTGCCAAAGCACACTAGTATTTCTATTTCTATGTATGGAGATGTGAAGATAAGTTCACGGATAGTTCTTAAAGATGTGCTCTTTGTGCCACAGTTTAGGTTCAATTTGATTTTAGTAAGTGTACTGTCTAATGATACAAGGGTCACCTTGACCTTTATGCCTGATTCCTTTGTGGTTCAGGATATCAACAACAAGAAGACGATTGGCAGGGGTGATAGGCTGGATGGACTATATGTCTTGGATGCTAATAAATGTGGTTTGTTTTCTACAGATTCCATATCTGATTTACATTGTTTTGCCAATTCTGGTTCTCGGTGTTTTGTGAATAATGTTACTGCCAAGATTTGGCATGATAGACTTGGCCATTTATCTTTCAAAAGGCTTGTATGTTTGCAGAAACTGTTAAATGTTGATGCCTCCAAGTTTAATAATCATGGTCCTTGCTATATTTGCCCTCTAGCTAAACAACGCAGATTATCTCTTGATTCTCATAATCATTTGTCTGCTTCTCCTTTTGATTTAGTACATTGTGATATCTGGGGTGCTTATCACATTACTTCTCATGCTGGCCATAGATATTTTTTAACCTTGGTTGATGATTTACTCGCTTTACATGGGTCTATCTCCTTAGACAAAAATCTGATGTACTTACCATAGTTCCTAAGTTTTGTAATATGGTACAAACTCAGTTTAATGCTAAGATCAAGAAGTTTAGGACAGACAATGCCCGAGAATTAGCTTTTACTGAGTTGTTTGGAAAATTAGGAATTCTACATCAATTTTCTTGTGTGGACACACCTCAACAGAATTCAGTTGTTGAAAGAAAGCACCAACATCTGTTAAATGTTGCCCGGGCTTTATTTTTTCAATCACGGGTTCCAATCCGGTTTTAGGGTGAGTGTGTTCTCACTGCAACTTTCTTGATCAACAGGACTCCTTCACATTTGTTACTTAATAAAACTCCTTATGACTTGTTGTATGCTGATGTAGTTGATTACTCTTTCTTTCAGGTTTTTGGATGTTTGGTCTTTGCATCCACTCTTATGGCTCATAGAACAAAATTTCAGCCTCGAGCACGAGCATGTGTGTTTTTAGGCTACCCGCCGGGAGTCAAAGGCTATAGATTACTGGATTTACAATCCAAGGAGATTTTTATCTCCAGAGATGTTGTCTTTCACGAGGAAATCTTTCCTTTTCATTGCATCGGATCCAATGATGAGTTTGTTGATCCATTTCCTGATTTGGTTTTACCAAGTTCCTCAGTTACTAATCATCTTGAGGTTTCGGTTGACACCTCTGCTTTTGGCTCTTCAGAAGCTGCACAGTTGCCACTTGTTCCTGAGGTGCCTGATCTGTCTTTAAGAAGATCCTCTCGACCTGTTCGGCCTCCACCTATTTACAGGATTTTCATTGTAACAATTTGTTGTTTGGTTCTTCTTCCACAGCTTTATATCCTCTGTCCAACGTTCTTGACTATGGCAAACTTTCCCCTTCTTATAGGCAGTTTGTAATGAATGTTTCCTCTGCTGTGGAACCTCAATTTTATCACCAAGCCATTAAGCATGCTGCATGGAAGGATGCTATGAAGGATGAGTTAATGGCCATGGAGGAAAATCAGACTTGGCAGATTGTTGCCTTGCCAAAAAGGAAACATTCAATTGGTTGTGAGTGGGTGTATAAGGTTTTGCACAAGGCTGATGGGTCCATTGAAAGACTTAAGGCTCGTTTGGTGGCAAGAGGCTTTACACAACAGGAGGGCGTTGATTTCTTTGAGACTTTCTCTCCCGTGGCCAAATTAGTCACTGTTAAGGTTTTGTTGGCCTTGGCTGCAATTCGGAAGTGGCATTTATTTCAAATGGATGTTAATAATGCCTTCCTCAATGGTGACTTGTTTGAAGAGGTTTATATGGATCTTCCTCTTGGGTATACGCCTCAGGGGGAGAATATTTTTGATGGTGGCAGATTGGTTTGCAAGCTCAATAGGTCTATATATGGCCTTAAACAAGCTTCGCGACAATGGAATTTTAAGCTTGCATGTGCTTTAGTCAAATTTGGTTTTGTCCAGTCCAAATCTGACTATTCTCTATTTACTATGGGAAGTGGTGATTCTTTTCTTGCCTTACTGGTTTATGTTGATGACATTATCATCACTAGACCAAATCTTGTAGTCATTGATCACTTGAAAAAGTTTCTCCATAGTCAATTGAAGCTCAAGGATTTAGGCCATCTGAAGTTCTTTCTTAGTCTTGAAATAGCTCGGTCTAATGCTGGCATAGTTCTTTCTCAAAGACATTATGCTTTACAATTACTTGAAGATTCGGGATATCTTGCCTGCAAACCAGTTGCTGAACCAATGGATGCCAAGATTCGATTATGTGCTGACGAAGGAGTTCTTTTATATGATCCTTCATAGTATCGAAGATTGATTGGCCATTTGTTATATCTTACTATCACTCGTCCAGACATTACATTTGTTGTCCATAAGTTGAGTCAGTTTTTAGCCAAGCTGCGGGAGCCACATTTGTTTGCAGTCCATCATTTACTTCGTTATATCAAGGCAAGTCTAGGACAGGGCCTTTTTTATTCAGCCACTTCATCTGTTCAACTGAAAGCATTTTTCGATGCAGATTGGAGTTCTTGTCCAGACTTAAGGAAGTCAGTCACTGGTTTTTGTGTTTTTATTGGTGATTCTTTGGTTTCTTGGAAGTCAAAGAAGCAAAAGACGGTTTCTCATTCTTCGGCTGAAGCCGAGTACAGGGCATTGGCGTTCACTGTCAGTGAGTTGGTTTGGTTACGTCAACTTTTATCTAATTTTCATCAAGGTTTGTCCTCTCCTATGGTTTTGTTTTGTGATAATCAGGCTGCAATTCATATTGCTTCCAATCCTATTTTTCATGAGAGGACTAAACATATTGAAGTGGACTGTTATTTTGTTCGTGATATGGTTACTAAAGGGTTTGTTAGACTCATGCCGATTCGTTCTCAGCATCAACTCGCTGACCCCTTTACTAAAGCTCTGCCTTCTTCGTTGCTTCGTTCTTTCTTATGCAAGCTGGCCATCAAAGATATTCATGGTCCATCTTGAGGGGGAGTATTAAGTTTGTTAACTTAAATACATGTGATTAGATTAGCTGAGCTATCATATAGTTGATATAGAGTTGGTTTTAACTGAGTAGTTTTGTTTTCCTTGTTTTACGTGCTTCTCTGTTTTTCATTAGCTATATATTTAGCTCCCCTGTAATTGGTTACAGTTAGAAATGAGAATTATCATTTTCTCAACTTTTCATTCTCTGCATCGTAATACTTATCAATCATACAAAATGTTATAGATTTTGTAATCGAAACATATATATACTTTTAGCCACACCTTGTATCTATCAAACCCATAATATATGTATGTACACAAACACATTCAATGCACAGTCACATTCATTGTACTTTAGGAGGAATTTATATGAGGGATTATTCAGTTGACCGGGTGTATCATGTCATAATATTTACGTAGTATACCCGTTTAGTAAAAACTTAGATGCTTTTTTATATTATCTTTATAGAATTAAGTTTTTATTTCTTAGTGTGTTTTACATTTCTTTAGTGTGTTTCACATTTAAACAATTGTAGGTGGAGTATTTATGAAACAATATGACGAAAAATAAAAAATTACTGATAGTTTAATTTTTTTATTCTACCAAAAAAGCTCTCTTACGTATAATGTATAGTCATGTAAGTTATTTATAATGTCCAAACAGAGCCACACCATACATAAAAACATTGGCAAGAAAAGTACAAGTCGAGAAAATTAAAACACGTGCTCTCATAGACATTACACACCACACACACACACACACATATATATATAATGTTGGGATTAAGAGCTAGCAAAACGTGTATAATGATCAGATCTCGCCGTCCCAAAGACTCTGGAGCGATTTGTAAGGACCATCTTCAAAAATGAATTCCTCACCAGGAAATCCTTTGCGCTGCGGAATTTGACTTATCTTTGCGGACTCTTCCGCGCTTAGTTTCCAATCAAATATGTCCAAGTTCTCTTTCATCCTTTCCTTGTTGAAGCTCTTCACTAGCAAACTCACTCCTTGCTCGTACACCCATCTCAAACAAACCTAATTCATATATCAATAATCAATCATTAGTTTAGTTGTTAGACAAATAATTAAATAAATATACTATATATTACATATATTATTTTTATGTGATGGCAATATGCCTATTAAGTTGAAAAGAAAGTTCTAAAGGAGTGCAATCCACCCAGCTATGTTATATAGTAGTGAATGTTATTAAGAGACAACATATATGTAAGATGAGTATGACAGAAATGTGTATATTAAGATGGATGAGTGGCCATACAAGAATGGATCGCATAAGGAATGAAGTTATTTGTAGTATAGTAGGTGTAAAAACAATAGAAGATAAGGTGTGTGAGGGCCGCTTGAGGTGGTACGAGCGTGTCCAACGTAGACTGCTAGAAGCACCAGTTCGTGCTTGGGAGGACATTCTTATACCTAATACTAGGAGAGAGAGGGGTAGATCAAGAATTACGTGGACCGAAGTAGTTAGGAAAGACATTCTAGATCTAGGCCTTTAGGAAAGTCTAATTTCAAACATAGCTGCGTGAAAAAGTGAAATTCACATATCCGACCCCTATTAAGATGGGATTAAGGCTTGTTTGTTGTTGTTGTATTATATATATTATTCCAATTATCTGAACTAGCCAAGCTAGTTTACAAAAATATGCTTCAAATTCAAATGAGTTTGTTTCTAATAATGTAAACTCTCGTTTGTTTAGCTCATTTGAGTGGAGAACTTGATTTAAAAAGTGAAGTCATGTGAGAAAATACAATAGCAGAAAAAGTTGAATTTGACATTTTCCGAGAGAAAATACTATAGTAAAAACTTGATTTTTTATTTGAATTAACGAAATGAACAACGCCTATGTATGTCTATTGATATAGTATTTGTCAATATCTTTCAATAAATTAAGACATCCTCTAAATATTTAACATAGAGTTTCCTAATTGATTTCTTTTAGACTTTTTCCTAATACCTGAGCAACGGTTTTTTCTTTCTGATTCGCAATTTCTTGCAGCACCTCGCAGTCCATTACCCAGTTTTTACCCCATAGTGTTCCTTTTGCTCCCAAAGGAGAATAAGCTGTGACAATTATACCCTTTTCTTTGCACAGCTCTCTCAGCTTCTTTTGTTGCCAGAGTGGGTTCATCTCTACCTTCCAACTCACAAACCACAAATTAATCACACAAATAAATCGTAACAAATTATAAGTACGTACAATATTAGGAAATTCAGATGAAAATTAAAAGGAATATATATAAATTAATTACTTGATTAACGGCGGGTGGAATTTTGGCTGCGGCAAGCAGTTCTTGAAGCTTCTTGCATGAGAAGTTGCTGACTCCAATGGATTTTACGAGGCCAAGCCTGTGACACTCCTCCATGCCTTCCCACACTGCCTTCATGTCTATGGGAACAAGGTCCTTCTTCTTAACTGGCAATTCATATTCCCCTGGTTTCACACTCACTGGCCAATGTACTAAATATAGATCAACATATTCCAACTCTATGTTCCTGAAAGATTCACCAAATTAAAACTATTTGCTAATGATCTCGTTAGTTTACAAATTCTCTCAAAAAGCTTAAGTTATTCGGCAATGAGATCGAGATAGCCAACAATAATTTTACATTCTAATGCATTCTATTAATAATAAGAAGGGTCTAGTATGTGAATATTTAATTAAAAGACCGATATCTACACATCATCAAGCTGAGACGTATGGTCTCATTGCAAGCAAATTCCCCCACGACATAATTTTCTCAAAAGGGATCAGTTTCGAAGTTGTGATTATCGACGCTCTAGATCTGCCACCTCCTCAGGTCATTCTTAGGGTCCTCAGCATCACCGCCGTGTTCATTGACATGATCAACAAATGACATTAAAGCAATGGGTTTGATGGGGACGAAGAGAGATAGCAAAAGAGAGATGAAGAGAGATAACAAAAGAGAGAGAGCCATATTGGGAAGGAGATATATAGAAGAAAAAAGAGAGTGATTTGAAAAAAAATTCTTTGGTGTTGATTTTTGCTTTTATATTCCTTCATTACTTTTTTCGTTCTCGGTAATTTATTTAGGTTTAGCCTAGATTTTCCCTAACAGGAAGAAAAAAGAGAGAGCTTTGAAAAAGTATCCTAGAATTTGAGTCACGGTCGGGAAAGAAGGTAATATAAAAAGAGAGTAATTGGATAATTTTACATTGGTTGTCAAAGGAGAGTGAAAGGTCAACTAGCATAAATACGACACCAAATTAACTTGGAATAAATATTAAACCGTGAGCAATTTTGTGACACATCCCTTGATTTGTCACGATAATTTTATAGGGTGTAATTACAGCATTTTATAATAATTTGCTGCTGTGATACCATTAATTAAATAAATGTTACCAAAACCTTAAGTTATATAAGTTGAACTTTCTCAAATATAGCCAGTTGAGATCAAATTATAGTACTTTATCATGGATTATGTGACATACTCGAGTGTTTGCTGCAAGGCAGGGAGAACGCGGTGACGGTGGGCGTCACTGCACCAAAGCTTGGAAGTGACGAAGAGCTCGCGACGGGACTTGATAATGCCAAGGCTGAGAGCCTCCTTGATGGCCTCTCCTAGAGGCTTTTCCGACTGGTAAAGAGCAGCTGAGTCAAAGTGTCTGTATCCAATTTTGATAGCTTCAAGGATTGCCTCTTTCATGCTGTGACCGGAGGCACCTAAAGGGTACTCTGCTGTACCAAAACCAACTAGTGGGATTCCCTTCTCAGAACACCCTAGTAGTGGGGCTTCAGGAATTGCCATCTTAGTAGTTTCTCTAGCTACTTTGTTTTTTTTTGGTTCTCAAACTGAAAAGCAGTTTCTACCTAGCTTTGTTTTGACCAGACTTTCAAGACATCTATGATATTTATAAGCCTAGGAATCAATTTTGAGCCCATCTTTTTATTTGTTTTATTATTTTCTTTTGTAAATGTGTGGTCATCCAACATTATATCTTAAATTCGTGGTCCAAATACGAGTCAAAATAATGTAGCGATGAGAACCTGCTAAACTTTTGTGAAAATCTTGCCCCAAACAACAAAAAAATCCAAAAAATTATATTCTTTTAGATGTATCCTATGTTTTTGAATTTTAAATTGGTACAATGACATTTTAAAAAATTATTTATTTTTTTAGTGCGATGAAATTTACTTTGCTTATTTTTTTTATGTTCCAAACACTTAATTGTCATGAAACTACATTAATTTCGACATAAAAGGCCAATATTTGAGAAGTAACTTTATTGCCTTAATTACACTTCACGCGCAATGGAAAATCTTAGCTCTCCTTTTCACCACCATTTTCACATATCATTTTTTTCTTCAAAGTCCTTTGGCTCTTACATGACAAGTATGTGAATTGTGCAAGGACCCTCGTCACTGAAGAAAGTACTTAAATAAAAATCACTGATTGATTCAATTTATTATTTTTAAATAAAATTTTAACAACATTTTTTCAAGTTGTTAATAATTACTAACCCGACATATCTAAACCGTCTTTGTATGAACATTTATAAAAGGGATAAAATCATTTTTGTACCACGTGTTATAGCAAAACATACTCATGGTAGTCTATCTTTTTAATAATATTTAAATGATATCTCGACGTTTTCAAAAACATCTTTTAGTACCTTAAAGTTGATTTTTGAGAAGTAAAATGACTTTAGTACCATTCTATTTAATTAATCAAAAACTAATACATCTAGAAAAAAAAAATGAACTTTTTATTTTGTTCTTTTCTTTTAATATTTTAATGTTTTAAAATATTTTCAGATTTTTTTGAAAAAAGATACTAATTTTTATATAATTGATAAAAAGGGTAGTTTGGACATTACATATCTCAAAAATTAACTTCAAGCTACCAATTAGATATTTTTAAAATCGTCAAGGTACCATTTTAATATTATAAAAAATATAGGGTACTAAGAGCATGTTTCGCTATAATATATGGTACCAAAATGATTTTATCCCTTTAAAAAATTGAATGCTTTAGGATGATGACAGTATTTTGATTTCATGTAAAAAGAATTAATGACATGACTACAATGCATTGAAAATGTCATCCAGAATTTTAGACTTTCACCTCTATTCAACGAATTTTGCAAAAATACCATGTAATCTATTTCACGATATCCCGGGCCAGTTTAATTCAAACGTTTGAACTAGATTTTTATTTTGCTACATTACTTTTTTTCGTAAAAAATTTAAATAAAAAAAGTTTTCACCAATAACTTTCTTACAAAGTTTGAATACATAATTAAAATTATTGACTTAAATGAGTGAACCAAACTGACCATAAATATCATTGGAGAGCTTATTTGTTGTAGTGATATATGATGTCAACTAACATCATATAGATGGGTACTCAATAGTAACTTGGTCCTAAGCATCTATGATTATACACGGGGCATCGTTGTTAATAATGAATAATAAACATTATAATATAGATTATTTTAATTTATTAATGATTAGTAAACCATATGATGATATACCCTCACAAATTGTTTTTTTTTTTTGTTTTACGCTCCGTAATTTTTCCTCAGCTAGACACATGGAGCAAAATAATGGAGTAAGTACCAGTTATTAGTAGCATAGGAAAAAAGCTTTCATCGTTAAGGTATGTTTGCGGTAACAAAATAGACACTGGATGATGAATCACAAATGAGCCAAGGAGAAAATAAAATTTTGGTGCTGGCCCAAATAAAAAAAAAAAGAGGGGGAGGGGGGGATTAAAAATACACATTTTAGAACATGAAATGATGATAAAAAGAGTGCAGAACGTGGAGTGGTGACAAATAAGGTGCAGAACGTGGGGTGATGACAAATGAAGTGCAGAACGTGGAATGATGGCCAAAACTGTTACAAAATTCTCTTATATAAAGAAAGAAGCAAAAAAAAAAAAAAAAAAGGAAGAAAAAAACTTTTCTGAAGATATAGGTGCATGTGTGCAAGAGAAAAACACTTTTATGAAGACATAGGTGCCGGGTGCGTGTGTGCAGGAGAAAAACTTTTCTGAAGATATAGGCGCGTGTGTGCAGGTGTGTGGAAGAAAAGTGAGAGAAAGAAAAAAAAAAAAAACCAAAAAGGTACGTGTGTGCAGGTGGAAGAAAAGTGAGAGAAAGAAAACAAAAAAAAAAGGTGCGTGTGTGCAGGTGTGTGGAAGAAAAGTGAGAGAAAGAGGGGGGTTAGAGATTGCTAAGATACATTTTTTTTTAGTGCAATTTAAATGAAAAATTAATACAAATTACAATCCCTTGGTACAAGAGAAAACCTTTTGATTCTAATTAAAAACAGTAAATACTATTTTTTGTGAATTTGGGAAATTTAGGTTGATTTAAAATTGCTGCTGTGAATTTAGCTGAGTTGCTTACATACCCCATTAAGGGATCTTATAGTTCGAATTTTGGGTTTGATAATTTTGGATAATTCCTCGGTATATGACCTGTTGGTTACCGAATCGAATTCAGATGCGGGAGCGTGGGGAAGAG